TAAAAAAGAATCATGTAGCTTTTTTTTTAAGCCAGTAAATGATATTAGTTGACAAAAATATAGGAAAGAAGAAACAAACAGAAGTAACAATTAGAAGTAAAAAAGTGAGATAGCAAGATGGTAGTTGTAAATCCTTTACATTAAATATAAAATAAGTTAAACATTTCAATGAAAAGGCAGAGACATCTAACTGGATAAAATCTAAATATCCTTAAGTTATTGCTGCATTTTTAAAAACACCCAAAGAGTAATAGTTTTTCATAATACTATCTTACATAGAACTTATTTATGCAGCTGCACTATCTCTAGGTTCAGCTGAGGACTGGGATTAGCTGAGAAAGAATATATCTAGGGTAACTGAGAGTCTTTCTCTCAAATAGTCATTTAGTCTCTAGGAGTCTAGAAAACCAGGTTTCTTCATGTGGTGGCAGAAACATTTGAAGAAGGCAAGCCCTAATGTACAAGTGCTTGTGGAGCCTTGACTTGTGTTGTGTTTACTGATATCTCATGGGTAAAAGCAAGTTCAGTGACCAAGTGTACAGTCTGTGTGAGAAGTAACTACAAAGCAAGAATACCAGGAAGTGTGATCTTCAGGGGCATTAATACAGCGATCTACCACATACAATTTTATATTGGACACAAGAGACACACTTCAAATATAAACATAGTGCTACATTAAAAGTGAAAGAATGGAAAATGAGACATGCAAACACTACTTATAAAAAAGTTAGAATGACTATATTAATATCAAACAAAGCAGATTTCAAGATGAAATATTGGGAACCAGCAGGTAGCGTAATGACTATGTCACTGGACTCCCACGTAGTTGACCGCGGTTCGCATCCCGGACCCGGTGGCTTAAAACTCACGCCGGACGCGTGTGCGTGCGTGCCCAAGATCCTGAGAGGAGAATGGAGGAGAAGGGATTGCGGTGTGACCATCCCCCCTGGAGGGTGATTTCTCGCTTTCTGTCTCTATGTCTCTCTCTGTCTGTCTGGCGAGCAATGCGCCCTATAACGAAAACCTCTCAAAAAAATTAAAGAAAGATAAAATATTAACAGAACTTTACATTCTTGTGTCTGTTAAGTTTTTCTTCCATCAGTCCCTCTCACCCACCCTCCACTGTCCACTTCTTTCCCATACAGTCTCTGGTATCTACACCTGTCCTCCCTTCTATTGTATCTTCAGATCTTTCCATTTTTGCTGTACAGTGAAGACATTTAGTATATATTGAGTGGGGATATACAGTATTTGTTTTGCATAGTCTGACTTACTTTGCTCAACATTAAATTGTCTATATTCACCACTTTGTATTAAATGAAAGAGTCACATTGTTCTCATTGGCTGAGTAGTTTCCATAGTGTATATGTGCCACAATTTTTAATCTGTTTATCAGTTCTTAGGCATTTTGGTTGATTCCATGTCCTAGCAATTACAAATGAACTTTTAAAAAAAAAAAAAAAGTCTTTAGTCTGTTTTCTCTTTGGTTCCCTACATTGTTTTCTGTAGTCTATAATTGGAGCCATAAGACCATCTGGAAATATTGTGAGAGCAGCATTAGTGGCAATATATAGTGATGTGTGTTTATGCTATAACTTGAAACTCGGAAGCCAATAACTGCAAGGCATTGAGAAAAATCCATTACCACAGAAGCTCTTTTACAAGGAGGCTGAGGCTGAGGAAGTCGACAATGCAGAGCTGATGTCAGGTTATTTTTGGGTGGTAGTGGAGGCTTTTTTATAGAATGAAAAATATGGTAGGAATTACATAACCCAAGGGGGGATTTGCAATGCGCACATAAATAGGATTTGTAGATATAAGTTTGCCAATGTATTTCTTGACATGTTTATGTGTGTTCATCCTTCAATGTTTCCACTAACAAATATTATCAAAATTTTTGCAACATATAGAACCCTAGAAAGTAACCTTCATAAAGAATAGAAAAATTTCCAGATCAACAGAGTCCAGAAGACTATGTGAATAATTCTTCCTACCCATTACCTCTGTAATCCAGCATAGTGCTGGGTGTATGGTGTATGCTCAGGAAATGGTTGTGGCAATGTGTGAACAATGGGTTAATGCGCCAAGCTGGAATTGTTCATTCAGCAATCACCTATTCCATGCCCATCATTAAATGCTGTAGAGGTTTCAAAAGGAACATAACACATGTGGCCTGAAAACCTTTCTTTATGTTTCCAGTTTTTAAATTATGCTATTATTTTAATTTGCTAGAAGGTACATGCATTTGCCGGAGAGAGAAAAAGAGAGAAAGCCCCCCCCCCGCCCCCATGGGGCATGTCACACAGCAATCCCTGCTCCTCCATTACTTCTTCCTTATGGGATTTTGACACATGCACACCTGCCTGGGATGTTTCTCAAGCCAGTGAGTCTAGGACTCAAACCATGCAGTTGGCCATGTGGGATTTAGCCACCTTAAGCAACATGTCACCGGCTGGCCCTAAACCTTAGAAGGTACTTCTAAGTAGGAACACTGGCAGACATGTGAAACCACAAGGAAAACAGGAACTCATCAATAGCAGCCTCTCTTCATAGGATTCCTGGCCCCTCTCATTTCCCAGGAAGATACCATTTCATTTGGTAATAACCAAGTCCTCAGAGAGTTTATTATCACCCTTTAAGAGATCTTTTCCCAAAATTTTCTTTAGTTTCTAGAAGGCATCAAGAAAGACTCTTACTAATTGTTTTATTGTCCCAGAATTAAAACAGATCCACAATTCCCATGAAACCATCTGTTTTGTTTTCTTAGATGTTGTGGATGATTAGAGAAGGAGAAAGGAGTTGGGAGGTAGGACCACAGGTTATTTGATCCTTTGAGAAGGGTGGTATATAGGAAGACTTGTAATCTCTGCTTGCAACTAGTAAGTTCATATCTAGCCAGACAAAACGTCAAGATAAAGACATTTTCTAAAACAGCCTTTGTTCTGGTACCTAGAGAAAAAAAAAAAAAAGGAATCTCAAGAAAATACTTGTAAAGAAAAGGAAATAGAGAAAGTACCCAGTTCCCAGGCTTTATTTGGCAGGGGGAAAGAAAAAAAAAAAAAAAACAACAGTGAAGCCAAGGAACCTTTTCCACACCCCTAATATGCCTTTTTATTCCAGTCTTCTTTTTTAAAAGAACTATCATAAACTTAAGTGAGTTAATTGCATTTACATTTTTGCATATTTGTAATAAAGCCTGAGACACGTTAAGTACTCAAGGTTGTTAACAAATTGCTCTGCTCTTCACTAATTTAAATATTATTCAAAGCTTCCCACATCTCCAACACTGTCCCATGCTAGGAGACTGCTTTGCAGAATAGAAAGTCTGTTTTTGAGTGAGACAGGCATGACTTCAAGTCTCTCCTTGCTCACTTATCCTCTCTGAATCTGAGTTTTTTCACCTATAATATGGGGACAATAATATCCACCTTGAGTAGATATATATATATATATGTTTTTTTTTTTTTTTGGAAAGGTTTTTGCTATAGGGCACATGCGCTTGCCAGACAGACAGAGAGATAGAAAGCGAGAAATCACCCCCCAGGGAGGATGGCCACGCCGCAATCCCTTCTCCTCCATTCTCTTCTCTGGATCTTGGGCACACAAGCACACATACCTGGCGTGAGTTTAAGCCACCTGGTCCAGGACTCGAGCCACGGTCAACTACGTGGGAGTCTAGCGACATAGCCATTACGCTAACTGCTGGTCCCCAGTAGATACTTTTTGAAGATGAAATCAGAACTATTTGAGCAGTGCCTTGTATGTAGTATGTGCTCAATACATGTTAGATTCTTTCTTTACTCAAGAGGAGCATCCCTTCCTAATTTAATTAATTTGTTTTCACTCTGCCTCTAGAGATTCTAGTGGAAAGAAGGCAAAGTCAAACTCTTCCTTTGGCTTCCAGTATTGAGTAAGATCATTTTTCCCCCAGAAATCACACCATCTTGCCCTTGTGGTACACTGTGGAGCTGCTTAAGACAGAAACGTGAATGTGAATATCTTACTTCCCAGAGAGGATGGCCCACAAAGATTCCATTTGGCCCAACCACTCATTTTTCACACTGCCAATCGGACACTTTCCCAGCGTTATATCCCACTTCCTCTTCCTGCCCCTACCGTCACCTTGAACAACGAGAGTAAGAAAACATAGGCACCAGCCACAGAAAATCCTCTTGGCTATCTTGGAAAGCATAGATTCTTTAGGCTTTTATTTGCAAAGCTGACTGCATAAATTCCTTTGGCACAACCACATAGGTGGCAGAGTTTACTCTGGACACCTTCCCTCCACCATGTCCTCTGGTGGCCTGGCCTTCCCCGGGGTTCTTGGTACTTGCTTCTTTCTAGCTCACATGAGCCATTTGTGTCTTTGCCTAGTTTGATGTGTGTCCATCAGGAGCAGTTGTCTTTTAAAACCTATTTCCAGGGTAGAATGAAAACTTAGTCTCTGTTAAAGAAAAGAGAAACTTGGGACCAGCAGTTAGCGTAATGGCTATGTCACTGGACTCCCATGTGGTCCACCGCGGTTCACGTCCTGGACCCGGTGGCTTAAAACTCACGCCGGGCGCGTGTGCATGCATGCCCAAGATCCTGAGAGGAGAACGGAGGAGAAGGGATTGCGGCATGGCCATCCCCCCTGGGGGGGTGATTTCTCGCTTTCTGTCTCTGTCTGTCTCTGTCTGTCTGGTGAGTGCACACGCCCTATAGCAAAAATCTCTCTCAAAAAAAAAAAAAAAGAAAGAAAAAGAAAAGAGAAACTTCTGCAAGCAGACGGAGAGTCATATAGAAGGGTCCTTTCTCTCAGTCCTTGAATATCACTCATCCTGTGCTATGGCTGACCCTGAATGGATAATGTAAGACAGACTTTCCCTCTGATAGGTTTTTGGGGCATTATTGGGGCAATTCAGCAGTATCCACAGAGGTAAGAAGACCAATACATGCGACTATCAACAGCAAAGTGAAAAATGGTCCAATAAGACTAATAGGGTATCTTTGGATTTCAGGGAACAGATCCGTCAAGGCCTAGAAGAACTCCAGAAAGTTCTACCAGGAGGAGATACTTACATGCATGAAGGATTTGAAAGGGTAATTTAAAAATAGTTCTAAACTCCAAATGTAAATTGTGATATTGAAAGATCAACACAGAATGGCTGATGAGATAAAGCACATGTATTAAGGAGTCTGAACAACACTCAGTAGGAAGAAAGTACAAACTTTTCCCCATACACTTACACACTAATTAACTCTGCCCAGAAGAACTAAAGAAATGGATTCCCTTCCTCATTCCTGACACTGATAAAGGGCTCATCAGCTAACGTTTGGCAGGTATTTATGAATCATGCCACACATAAGTTCCCTCAACTCCCAAGTAACCTTCATTGGTTGGTGACTTTGGTACTTAAAACAGAATTCCAATCACTTCAACTTTAAGAAAAACAAGTAGGAGGCTATGAAAAGTAAGACATGAGTTCACAACTATATTACTTAATGTGAGAGTAACTTCAGAGGAATATAATCCATTGATATTTGAATGAAGCTTAGGTGAATTACATAAATAATCAGGGCTGAGCTCTGACAGTGTAACCAACACGATAGCCCAGTGCACAATATGGTATTTAGAGTGGCAAATGGTGATTCTGTCTAATGGCTTATTTGTGTGTTTTCCAGGCCAGTGAGCAGATTTATTATGAAAACAGTCAAGGTAAGACAATAGTAAGAATTACCACTAAGAATCATTTAGCATTTTTTTTTTTTGGTTAGTTTCTGAAAAAGTGCCTCAGTTATGTGATATTTTAAAGGACAAATAAGGACATATATAATATTCTCTAACCCTTAGTACTTTGTCACAAAGAAGGAATACATAGAAATATGGCACAGACCAAATCCAATTCTACTATCCTGTTGGTGCCAAGAAAAGTTATATATAAAAGTAATTAGTGGGACCAGCAGATGACATAATGTTTATGTTGCTGGACTCCATGTAGTCAACCACAATTCAAATCCCAGACCCAGTGACTCAAAACTCACATCAGGCATGTGTTCATGTGTGCCCAAAATCCCGAGAGGAAGACAGAGAAGAAGGCATTGCGCTGTGTCCATTGCCCCTGGGGAGCAATTTCTCGTTTTCTAACTCTCTGTCTCTGTTTCTCCAGTGAGTGCATGTGCCCTAGAGTAAAAACCTCTTTAAAAAAAAAAAAAAGTAATTAGGATCCCATTATGGCCACAGTCTGTAACTCCCATGAACAGTTTTGCATGTTTAATTAATCAAATTAGTAAATACTTGGATGGTTTAGTAAAGTCTTGAATTTTTATGTCAAACTTAATTTTTCTGTCCATCTCTGAGCTCTAAGCATTATTGCTGTGATTGGCTATGACATTAAAATAAAAGCACCGCGACCAGCAGTTAGCATAATGGCTATGTTGCTGGGCTCCCATGTACTCGACCGCGGTTCGCGTCCCGGACCCGGTGGCTTAAAACTCACGCCAGACGCATGTGCGTGCATGTCTAAGATCCCAAGAGGAGAATGGAGGAGAAGGGATTGTGGCGTGACCATCCCCCCTGGGGGGTGATTTCTCGCTTTCTATCTCTCTGTCTCTGTCTGTCTGGCGAGCACACGCGCCTATAGCAAAAACCTCTAAAAAAAATTTAAAATTAAAAAAATAAAAAAACACACCATTTTGGTTTAAACTTTCATTTAAATGAAAAATGCATAAAATGGACTTTAATAGAGTACCTAGTCCATAAAAAAATTATTATTATTATTAGGTTGTCAGAAAAGTCATGATGTATTTTTCTATGCAAAAATGCATCATAACTTTTCCGACAACCCAGTATTTTAGCTGTAATTAGTCCAGAGTCTTTTGTGGCTAGCATTTTTTTAATCTTAGGCAAATCTCTTAAAAGAGATTCTTCTTAGTCCTGTAAAGGTGTCTACTTCCTGTTTCATTCTAAATTGCAACAAATAGAACAGATCCAACATCAACACCAAAGCGTGCTGATATAAATTAACCATCATTTTGGTATTAGAACTTAAGTCACTGAAAAGAGATGGTCCCATAGCCCAGTGGTTAAGGGAGCTAGATCTAATATGGCTGACCATAGTTTGAATCAAAACCCTGATGGCTTGAAAAACACACCAGGCATGTGTATATGCATGCCCAAAATTCCAACAAGAAGCATAAATGGTGGAGAAGGGATTATAGCATGACCACACCCCATGGGAGAGGGTGGTCTCTTCCTCTGTCTCTCTGTTTCTCGCAAGCACACATGCCATCTTGGCAACCTACAAAATAAATTACTGGAAGAATTCTAGTAGGTTTTGCCAACTGCTGAAATACTTCCAGTCAGCTTATAAGTTATGACAACTATTACTCTGACAAACTATCTCCAAGGGTGGTATATGTGGTCAAACATGGCATGTGGAAAGGAGCCCTGAACAGCCCAGGTGGTAGAGTCTGCTCCTAGTCCATGTGGCTGCTATTAGTAAATAGTCACACTGGACTCTCTGGAGCTACTCCCCACGGATCAGTGACCATTTCACCAGGTTTGGCCATTTTGTGAGATGAGGCTGGGAAAGTCAGAAGCAAATCCTATTCCTCCTAAAATTTGTCCCTGGGGAAACATTTTACTTCAAGCTGGAGTTGCTGCCAGTCCCAAAAGAAACTGTTTTGATTCTCACACTATTGGCTAGCGTGGCTGAGCTTAGAGAGGTGGAATTCTGGGGAAGAGAGGGGTTCCCCTGAGTGTGGAAGGATGAACTAAGTTAATCTATGTGTTTATAGGATACAGAACAGCCAGTGTCATCATCGCTTTGACTGACGGAGAGCTCCACGAAGACCTCTTTTTCTATTCTGAGAGGGAGGTAGGTGAATGTTGGCATGTGTCTAAACACACACTCACGTGAAAATAGGCCTTGTCCTTTCCGGAAGGGTCTGCATTTACTCTGCTCATGCAAAATGCTAGGTATCCTTTGTAAAACGCTGAATGAAGTAATATTTCATAGGTAAAAATACTAATTCATTTCCTTAAGTGAATTTTCACATCTTACACATGTAGGAGTTTTTCTTCTTTCATCACTTACGCATATTACTCTGGTTTTTCAGGGATTAAAAATATCTCAGCCCAGCCACAATAGTGCACTCTAGACACTGCTGCTTGGCAGGCTGAGGCCACAAGGGAGAACTGATTCAATTCTTGGTCCATACTGAAAAGGCAGGTGCAATGACACATACTTGGGGTCCTAGCCACTTGGGAGGCTGAGGCAGAAAGATCATGCCCTGAGAGATCCTATCCTAAAAAATTACACACACTTAAACATACACACTTATACACATACAGGAAAAACAATATCTCCCATGTTTTTTGAAGGCATTAAATTGCTCTAGCAGTTTTGAAATACTGTCATTTTTAAACCAAAAAAGTATCACTTTTCCTCCATTTCTGCTAGTATTTTCTACTAAAACAGGAAGATGACCAAAAAATTACTTAAAATGTGTAAGAGGCAATCTTGTCTAAGTGTACTAATCACAGATTCTCACTCAAAGAATCGAAGTTGAAGAACAATTGCTAGCAAAATTAATGGTAATCTGTCCTTCAATATTTCTTTTTTTCTTTTCTTTGTGTTCTCAAAAACTACTCCTCAAAGCAAGAGAAAACATTCTCTAAATGAAGTTTTCAATTTGTGTAAAGAGACTTAGAAAAATAGGTTTACTCAAGCATTGAAAAATAATTTTTATATTTTTTTCTTTGCATTTAATCAGTGTTTACCATTACAACTTGCAAAATTAATTTTCCCAGCCCAAATACATTGTATATTAGTCCAATTAAAGATATTATTATACACATTATCATAAACAGATAATTTACCACTTTTTTGTCCTTTAAATGTTTTGCTTAAGAAATTTATTCAAATTTTAGTTTTGAGCTATATGTTTAATTGGTCTAAGGAAACTAGTTAACCATGGAAATGTACTGAAGCATCATTAGGGCAAAGTCTTGTTCAGGCCAAGGTAGAAAGACACAATAGGGACCCGGGCCTGTGGCCTCGGGGTTAAGGAAGTCAAATCCTACATGGCCAACTGACTATGCAGTTTGAGTACAGGACCCAGCGACTTGAGAAACACACAGGGCACGTATGCATGCCCCAAATCCCATCAGGATGGAGAAGTGGAGAAGGGACTGTGGTGTAACCATGCCCTACTGGGATATGCTTTCTCCCCCTCCTTCTCCCTCTGTCTCTCTGTCTTTCTCTGGAGAGCACACACACCCTCTGACAAATTAGAAAAAAAAAGAAAGAAAGAGAACAAAAAAGAAAGAAGGAAGAAAAAAGGAAAGGAAAGGAAAGGAAAGGAAAGGAAAGGAAAGGAAAGGAAAGGAAAGGAAAAGAAAGAAAAGGAAGGAAGGAAGTGAGAAAGGAAGAGAAAAAAGAAGGAAGGGAAGAAAAAGAAATAAAAGAAAAAAGACAGTGAAGGAAGGAAATGCAGTGCCCTAGGGGAGGAGTTAATTATACTAAGTAGCATTATACTTAGCTCAAGCTTTTAACTACAATTTAATCTGAATTCAGCTTCTTTACAAGCAAATAAAATATATACTCATTCATTCAGTGTTAGCTGAGAGTAAGGCAGTGCTGGGCACTTTGTTAGACCCTAGAGACATCAAGATGAGATGCAGTTACTGCCTTCATGGGTTTTACTATGAACAAATACTCAGGTTTTTGAAGCCTCCTCTGGTAAAAGGCATAGAGAAATGACGTGAGTAAACACATTTATTCCTCCTTCTCTCACCAGTACAAAGGATAACTCATGACAGGGAAACTTACAATTTAATATAGCAGACAGTCCCTGAACATTTGGAAATACATATAATGCACTTCTATATTCTGAAGCTGAAACTATGTGATAGGAATGCAGTGTGGCGTATTTGGGTACTAAATAACAGTCAAATAAAGCAAAAACCCTAATAAGGAAAGAACTGAAAATAAAATAAATGATGGGTGTCAAGGCTTAAAATAAGGGTTAGTGGAAAGGAATTTTCGGTATGGAGCATATGAACTTGGAAAAATATTCAAAAGGCCAATGCCAATAGATGGAGACTTTCTGAAAAAGAAAGATAAAGCTCAAGATATAAAGAAAGTGAACATTTCCATCCTTGCTAATTCTATATAAAGCCCAACTAGAGAAGAGTCACAGTGTTGTTGCAGATAAGGGCTAGACAGAGTCTAAACATTTCTTTTATTTTGAAAGCAGCAGGGAATATTTCTAACGTGAAGGAAAAAGACATGGTTTCTGTCCCTCTGGAATTCAGTGTTGGGCACAAGTGAATATCAGTACTGTGGTGGGGAATGGTGGTGAGAGGGTGAGGATAATATAATTCAGTCAATATGCACATATTAAGTGCTTCCTGTATGTTTACTGTTATTATTTACTGAGCACCTACTTTATGTGCCAAGGTTTCCAATTTTTGTTTTCTACTCTGAGACACAGAAAACCTGAATATCAGATATAAGAGCCTTTCATAAATCACATATTAAAATCAAGCCAAGGGACCAGCAGATGGCATAATGATTACATCGCTGGGCTCCCACATGGCCAACCGTAGTTCAAGTCCAGACCTGGTGGCTTAAAACTCACACTGGGGAACCAGCAGTTAGCGTAATGGCTATGTTGCTGGACTCCCACGTAGTCGACCGCGGTTCGCGTCCCAGACCCGGTGGCTTAAAATTCACGCCGGGTGCGTGTGCATGCGTGCTCAAGATCCCAAGAGGAGAATGGAGGAGAAGGGATTGCGGCATGATCATCCCCCCTGGGGGGTGATTTCTCTCTTTCTGTCTCTATGTCTCTCTCTGTCTGTCTGGCGAGCGCACGCGCCCTATAGCAAAAACCTGTCCAAAAAAAAAAAAAAAAAAAAAAACCCCCCACTGACCACGCGGCCAGGGGTCCCCAAAATCCTAAGAGGAGAATGGGGGAGAAGGGATTGCGGTGTGGCCATCCCCGCTGCAGGGTGATTTCTCACTTTCTGTCTCTCTGTCTCTCTGGTGAACACATGTGCCCTATAGCAAAATCTCTCCTAAAAAAAAAAATTAAAAAAAGATTAAGTCAAAACCTGGATTTTATTCACCATGTTGCTCTGTCAGTGCTTAATTGTAGAGAAAGTCATGGGTTCACCTGTTCAAATATGGACCACAACTTCCTACATTAAGCCAATCTATTCTATAGGAATGGAAACGGCCTTATTCACAAATGGTGCTCAGATATATGAACATCTACCTTGTTCAAAGCTCTGTATGAGAAGCACTACATATATTATCTTCTTTAACACCCCCCCCCAATACTCTGCAACGCAAAGCTAGGTCAGTAGGTTGAGTTTCAAAGACCACATTCTTTTATAATGCTATGCTGCCATTATAAACAAAGAAAAGTATGGTTATAAAACCCATCAGAGGAATACAAAGGTAATCATCTCTCTGGAATATTTAATATGATCACCTTGGCCTTCAACTTCTCTGGTATAAGAGCTTCTTGGGCTTAGGGATTGACTTCTTTAATATGGCACTTGACACATGGTAGGTGTTCAATAAGTAATTGATTGTTGAAGTTACTTTTGCAAATCCAAGAGCTGTATATTTGCCAATACTTCTCTTTTAATGTCTTTCCTTCCCTGACCCAGGCTAACAGATCCCGAGACCTTGGTGCAATCGTTTACTGTGTTGGTGTGAAAGATTTCAATGAAACACAGGTATGACCACAGATTTCCTCTGGTTTGGGTGCATACCAAGCTTGTGAATGATAGAGAATATATGTATTCACTGCAGAGGGTGCATAAATAGCAAAAGTATCCCTTAGATGCGTTATTTTTCCAGAAATGCCAAGGGGGAGGCATTACTGAATGTGGAAGGGATGTGAAGTCATTTGATGCACTTGGGGTCTTTAACAAAAACCATCAGGCAGCATCTTTCTTGGTGAATGCTAGATTACCAAAGTGTCAAAACAGATCTGAATAAATTAAAAACTTGTTTTCATTTTCTTTTTAAATTTAATTTGATGTGCTATTTTCTAATTTACATGTCAGTCATTCCTTTTCACCCATGAAGAATGCAATGCATTTTCAATACAAAAATATGGAAATAATTGGACAAAGTACTATGTACAAGTACATGTAAGCAAGTTGTGAAAACTTGCTAACAGCCTAAATAAATGTTCCTGAAAGTAGTTTCTGATTTCTTTTTGTTTTACTGGCATAGGAGAATGTTCATAAAATTGTTAGTGAATAAGATAGGACTACAAAATAGTGAGGACAATATGTGCCCACTTTTAAAATACATTTATATATATGGGCCAGCATGTGGTATGACACATGGAAGGTGCTCTCACCTGGTGTGGTGGTTAAGATACTGGATCCCACATGGCCATCTTCACAGTTTGAGACCGGTGGCTTGAAAAACATTCCAGGAGTGTGTGCATGCCCAAAATCTGAAGAGAAGATTGAAGAAAGGATTGTGTCATGGTCATTCCCCTGATGGTGAGCCTGGACATCAGGCACTTTCTGCCCTCCACCTGCTATAACTACCGCAATTCCATTTCTCTTAGGCTAGTATATTTCTACCTAAGAGAACAAACCTTCCTGGGACCAGTATGTGGCATGGTAGTTAAGGTGCTGGACACTCCCACATGGCCAACCACGGTTTCCCTGTCTCTATGTTTCCCTCTCTCTTTCCAGGGAGCACATTTGCCTTATGGCAGAAACTGAAACGTAAATAAATGTGTATAGATTTACACATAAAAGTATCAAGAAATATATATGTATATCTATAGATAGATAGATAACAAATTGTCAACAAAGATAGGTTAGATAGATTATGAGTGACCTTTATTTTATTTTTATTCTCCTGGACTTACCTAAGTTTTCACAATAAGTAAGTATCATCTTTGTGATCGGTCAAAATATAAAAGGTATTTTTTAAACTATGTATGCTGGCACTAACTCTGACTGGCCATTACAGAACTACACAGAGATTTGAGGTAGTAAATCTCAGAGTTTGGCTTCTCCTTGCCCTGAGTCCTCTGCTCTGTAAAGCAGGAGCAGCTAAAACAATTGCAAAGGCTCTTTCCTTAATGAATAGTTTGGATAAAAGTTTCGGGTCCTCATTCATTGGCCTCACCCAACAGAAGCCTGGATTTATTTTTAAAGTTGTTCTGAAAAGAAACTTGAGTCTGTTTGATTCGAATAAAGTTGCCAACAGGAATTTGGGTGAATGGGAGAAAAATGAGCCAATAGCCTGTCCTCAAATCCATAAATATATCAACTCAGGCCAAGTGTTCATCAAGCTGGGCAATTTTACCTCTGCTCCCAAGGAGAAAACTATTAAAACAAATGTAAAAACTGGAACAAATCCTCCAAGTCTGCTCCAGCAAGGCCACTGGTAAGCTCATTATTACTGAGGGATTTTCAGTGAGGCCCGCATGCCTAGTGAAGGCCTTAAGTTCCCCTGGGTTCTAAAAGGTGGAGCCCCTGGGTCCAGAGGGTGTCTTAAGTTCTCCACATCCAAGCCTGACATACCTCCATGTGTGTTTGTGTGTTTGCTGTGCTCTCAGCTTGCCCGGATTGCGGACAGTAAGGACCATGTATTTCCTGTGAATGACGGCTTCCAGGCTCTGCAGGGCATCATCCACTCGGTAAGTAGAACACCTCTGCTGAGCCTGGACAGCAGGCACTTTCTGCCCTCCACCTGCTATAACTACCGCCATTCCTTCTCTCTAAGGCTGGTATGTTTCTACTTAAGAGAACAACCCTTCCTGGGACCATCATGTGGCATGGTGGTTAAGGTGCTGAACACTCCCACATGGCCAACCACAGTTCAAGTCCCAGATCTGGTGGCTTACTTTCTCTTTCTCTCTGTGTGTCTCTCTGGCCAAATTAAAAAAATAAGTGAATGAATAAATAAAACAAAATTTTTAAAAAAGAGAGAACAAACCTTTCTATATCTCTGTGTCTGCCACACCCTACTTCTCCCTTCTGCCTTTTGTGTATATTTCTTTTTTCATTGTCCTGTGTCAGTTCTACCCAACGATGGAAATTTTAAAATTGCAGTGGATCCAGCCCTGGCAGTGAGCCAGACTTCAGGTGGTCTTTTGTTTCTGTTGGGCAGACCATGGCTGAAGGTTTATACTTGACCAACATCAGCTTTCCCAGCTGTGACTGACACAAGCTATCTTCAGAGTATTTGTAGGCTGGACCTATATCACTGGGCCACTGGAGGCACTTCAGAGCAGGCTGCCCACAAACATCATCTGGAAAACTCTAAAAAACACACTAATGCTTGGGCCTCTGGTCTGAGGTACAGCCTGGGCCTTGGGAAGTTTTGTAATGCTCCTAGGTGATTTTGATGGTCAACCGCAGTTGAGAACCACTGCTTTAGACCTATACAGCTTAAATATGGGGGCTTCAGTGTTCTTCAGGGTTTGCACAGTCCTTCTTCACACATATAAGTGATTTCCTATAGCTCTTTTCTTGGGTAATGAATAGGGTACTAGCTGCCAGGTCCACTCTTCTCTGCCTTCCACATACAGACTAGGTCCTTGCTCCAGATGGAATGTTGGATGCCACTGTTCTTTAAGGCCCAACAGGATGGTCAACAGCATGCTACATGATTTTCAGAGGCCCTACAGCCTCCACTTGTAGGTTTAGTGACCAAGTAGGCATCCCATAGTCATTAGTAGAAGCTCATCAACCTCCAGACTTGGGGTAAAGGATGCAAATTCAGAGCTCAGAAGATCACCATCCTCTTAAGATGCCAAGGAATTCTTGATCCAGCCAGATGCTCAAGATATGTCAGCTTTCCCAGACCAACCCATGAAACTTCAACATGGCTGTGACTCCAGCTGCTTCTCCCTCCAGAATTTGTCAGAAACTCAACAGCATGGAAAGCAGAGTGAGAAGAACCTCAGAACTGGTCAGCCCTAAGTTTAAATGCCACCACAAACACTAGCCACTTATAGTTCCTTAGACACTTATTTACTTACTTTAAAAAGGGACTGATGGTCAGACTTACTTACATCCTAGGCTTGCTTGAGGATTATAAGAGATAACACTGGTGAAATTACCTAATATTTTTCTAAGCACATAATAGGTGCTTGTGATACATGAATTATTTCCTCTTCCGCTTTCCATTCTTATCAAATGAGGGGCATTAATGACAGCCTCCTTTAAGTCTTCTTAAATGTGCATAAAATTCAACTGAGAATCAGTCTGCAATACCAATTTCTAGATCCTATTCCCAAGTGAATCTATTATAGTTCATCTGGGGTGGATCCAAGAAATCTACATATTTTAATTCTGCATTACTTAAAAATAAGTGTCCCAGTAATACTTTTAAGACATTGATATATGTGATCTTAAATTTTTAGAATTGTATAAAATCATCTCAATTCAGGTTGGGAATTCCTATCTTAAATATGTACAAATGACAGTTATCTTATTCAAATGTGCTTGCTTGCAAAGAATAGAAATCTTCTCAAACTACCTTCACCAGAAAGTGGAAATTATTAGAAGGACAGAGAAATATCAAACCCAGCATGGTCTACAGGTGAAGGAGCCCTGTCTAATTATATCTGGGGTCATTGGCAGACTTGATAACATAAGCAACTAGAACTACAGTAACCATATGAAACAACAACCCAAGTGATGCAAGGCATAATTAACAGCAGGATTTGGGAGCAACCATGTGTTCCTTAGAGAATCAAAGGAGGATTATCCTGGGCAGAAGCCTTCATGAGAAAGTAGGGTGAACCTGAATCAATGAAAAACCAGGAGAGGTGAGGAAGCAGTGCCAGAAGAGTGGTGACCTTCCTGGAGCCTGGAGGCATTGCATATTCTGGGAACATTAAGAATACCTGTTTGGTGGAAGAGTTTGAGTAAAGGAGTCAGGAGCAATGGAGAAAATGCCCAGACATGATATTGGAATCAAATTAACCAGCGGCTTGACAGGGTTTTGATTCCAACCTCTAGGCAATGGGTGTTATCACTGAAACATCTTTGACATGTCACAAGTGATATTTAACAAGAAAATCTATTGGCAGTGTCCATGCATGTAACAAGGAAACTGGGCCAATCCAAAGGCCAATCAGGAAGCTACAGTAGCAGTCCTGCCTTCAGCTGGCTGGATTCGCAACAGGGACAGTTCTCATGAACTATGTGCCTAACCTTATTCAAGAATTGGTTTCAGCCCAGCCTAGGTGGCACCATTTGTAGAGTACTGGACTGTGGTCCGGAAAGCCATGTGACTCACCATGGACTGGATCCCCAGGTCAGCCTGAAAGCACATGGGGCACTTCCTCACAAGTGCAGGAAATCCTGGGGAAATGGAGGACTGGGAAAAAGAAACTGTGGCTTCATAAGAATTTTGAGGGTTCTCTCAGTCTCTCTATATAGATCCATACATAAATACATACATACTCACATATGTAGATAATATCTATATATGTATATACATACATCTGTATGTAGTATATGCTCACATGATGTTATGAATTTTTTGAAGTATTTTTTACACAAATAATTAGAATCTTTTTATCTCCATAAATTAGTGTTACCTTGAATATTTCAGCCTTAACAATTCACCCAAGCTTAATATAAACCCAACTATTTGTAAAACTCACCTCACCCCCAAATGGAAGTAAGTCCAAAGATGTTTTAGAAATTTTAGTGAAACAATCTCCACAAAAGGGAAAAAAAAATCACTGGGGGACTTTGGTCTCCACAGTTTCAGCTGAATGATAACATTCTTGTAAACTTTTTATCTGGGAGTTATGCTAGTGGTTTTGATCCTCCCAATACTTGAAACCCATGTTTATGGTAGTTGTTAATTCGTTTGCTTGGACAGGGAGTCAGAGACAAGCACAGTGGGGCTCATCTCTCTCCAATCAGACAGAAATAATTATGGACTAAAAGTTGGCTAACTATTTTTAAGAAGTAGGTTCATTTTTCCTTTCGGATTCTGAAAAGAAAGCTCTTATTTTTCCCCCATCTGAAGGCATCTATTCCAGCTCATTCCCATGAATGCTGTATTGTGACTGGTTATTTTCTCATAATAAAATAGTACTGGGCTAAATTACCCAAAATAAGATTGCAGAGCAGCTTCAAATAAGCTCAAGTGGTTCACAAAGCTTTCTGCCTATAGTGGCCTTACTTTTAAACTTCACATCAATGCAAGGGTTAATGTTTATTCATTCATCAAATACAAATTGAAAACTTTTCATGGTGAGGCGGCCAGTGATATGGTGGTCAAGGCAGCTGGATCCCACGTGGCTGACTGCATAGTTTGAGTCCCGGTCCTGGTTACTTGAGAAACACACTGAGTCCATGCATTCCTGAAATCCTGAGAGGAGAATAGGGATGGGATTGTGGCATGGTCATCTCTCCTAAGAGGTACTTTCTCACTTTCCCTCTCTCTCCCTCACTCTCTTTTTCTTTCTCTAGCAAGTGCATGCACCATATAGTGAACTTGAAAATAAAAATAAAAAACCTTTTTATGGCAGGTGGAAACCCTATCCTGGTGGAGCTTATCCAATCTATTGAATCATCAAAAAACTCATGATGCATTTTTGCCTAGAAAAAAATTGTCATGACTTTTCCAACGACCCAATAGTAGGAAAGACTCATAAAAACAAGTAAATGAATCAGTACATACAATTAAAATTGTGATAAATGATACAAAAGAAATAACATACTTCTGATATTAAGGGCAAAGGGGTTGTGAGGGCCAGGCGGTGCCACAGTGGTATAATGTGACGCTCTGCAAGGCTGAACCATGTGACAAGGTTCCAAGTTCAAATCCAGAGACCTCCTTGAGTATGCCAGGCATGTGTGCCCATGATCCAGAGCTGTCTGAGGGCTGATCCAAAATTGTGGCAACAGAATCCTGTTTGGGGTGCCTATTTCTCTGCATCTCTTGTTCATAGAACAAGTAAACTTTAAAAAAAATACAATAGTAAAAGGTCGGGACCAGCAGATGGTGTAATGGTTTCATTGCCGGACTCCCACACGGCCTACTGTGGTTCGAGTTTTGGACTCAGAGGCTTGAAACTCACACCAGGTACATGTGGTGCCCAAAATCCTGAGAAGAGAATGGAAAAGAAGGGATTGTAGCATGGCCATCCTCTTCCCACCCCAACCCCAGAGTGGGGGGGGGGGCGATTTCTGTGTCTCTGCCTTCCTCTGTCTCTCTGGCAAGTGCACACAATCTATAGCAAAAATTTCTTAAAAAAAAAAAAAAAAAGTAAAGGCTTAGTGAAGAACCCAGGCTTCCTCGAAATGATGTTCTGGAGGATGAATTGGAGTCATCCAACAGAAGGGCATGGATAGAATGCTCGTAGCAGAGCATGGCCTTAACGTGGCACCAGGAGAATGGAAGAGTGGTGCTTAAGGTAGAGGATGGCAAGAGATGTGAAGAAGCAGACAGAGCCTTGAACGTCATGATATTCACTCTGAGAACAATGGAAACTTTAGCCAGATACAAAGTCTGAGAATAGAGCAATCATACTTGAAATCAAGACTCAAGAAATCTAGACATCGTGGTGCCTTATCCATATCCCATATGGATGATGACTAAATAAATACACACTTGGTACCAATAGAAAAGAGAGCTGTGAAGGAGGAAAACCACATGACTTCTTGA